AGGGAGGGAGCTGGGCCCCTAATTCTGGGTGACTGATAACAATAAAAGCCATGAACAGCCCCAGTGGAAAGGATGAGTAACCGGTGAACTTGAGCACTGTGCAGTGCTAGCTTCCACACGCAGTCCAGGAGACAGGGAGGAGGAAAGGTATTGTCACTCAGAGCTAATCAGCCTCCACAGTCATCTCCTCACAAGACCAGAGAGCTAGTGGACACGTCAGAAGTCACTTAGAGCCATGAAGTCTTGGGCCCAGCGACTCCCTGCTACTTGCAGAAACAGGGTGCGTGGCAGGGAGGAATGCTGGGCAGATCCCCCACCTCCCAAATTCTTCCTCTTCAGGACTCAGCCTGAAGATGCCCCAGCTCTGACCCCAGTCCTTTGACCCCAATCCTCACTCCCACATCCCAGTTGCAGTGCCCCAGGTCCCTTGCAGGCTGCCGCTGGGCTGTAAGAGGAGGCTGAGCAGGCCAAGCTCCAGAAGGCCTGTCCTAGAGGACAGACTGACAGATGGGGCTGAGTGGAGGAGGGAAGAGCTGAGTGGTTCTCAGCTAGGGCAATAAGGTATGCTGGAGTGGGACCCCCGCAGCCTGGCGCAGAGTCCCTGAAGCACACAGCACTGCCCTCCCGCCCCCAGCGTGGGCAGTCCCGCCTTCCCCGCCCCGTCACGGGAGCTCTACTACTTGTTGATGGATGTGCGCTGCATCTCAGAGAAAAGGGCATCCCGGGGAGAGGAGAGGCTTAGGGGCCTCACTCAGGGCAATGAGGGCGGGACAGGGGGCCCACGAGAGAGCACATTGAGGGGCACATCAGAGCCATGTCCACGCGCCTGCTGCCTGCCTGCTGGACGAGCCTCCAGGACACCGGCCTTGGCCAAGGGTGTGTCCCACCCTCCACCTACAGTGGGCTTTACACTTTGACGTGGGAGGGACAAGGGCCGGAAACCAGAGGGAAGGAATGTGTCCAGAATAAGCAGGGAGGGGAAGAGTGGCCCAGACATGTCTGTTCATTCTTTTTTTCCAAAAAATCACCACGTGCCTCCTGTGCCTTCCTGCCTGGAGATCAGTGGACAGCATGTGCTCTGCCCACTGTCATGGGCCCTGCCGTCCAGGGCCAATGCTTTTGGTCACATTTTGAGGCCCTGTGGGGGCTGCACAGGTGATGTACCACAGAGTCCATCTGAGAAGAGAGGCCAAAGGAGTCAGGCCAGGCCGACATAGAAGCTGCCCTTGTTTGGCTACCCGGGGAGAAACCGCGAGGCAGGCAGCGAGGGAGAGGCTAAGGCGGAGAGTTTAGCCAGTCACATGGGCCACCCGGCTAAAGCACAGGCCAGTAGGAAATCCTGCATGTAAAGCTCTCCTCACCTTCTGTGTTCTTGGTTACCGTCCCCACTGTGGCTCCGAGTGGACCCTGAGTGAGCAGCAGCTTCCTTCTGAGGGAGGGAACAGTGATGGCAGGAGAGCTAAGTCCCCAGCTGGCGGGAGTGCCGGAGACCCAGAAGCAGGAGAGCAGACAGGAGGGGACCAGCCACAGGTCCTGGGGCCCAGCGTGGCTCCGGTGGCCTCTCCACCTCTCGCCATGAAAAATAAGCTCGTCTTTCAGGCTTTTCCTGTTCCTATTTTTGTCATTCCCTTTTCTTCTGTCTCTGGCCTAAGCCTTAGGTCTCCCGAGGACCTCGTGCCTGTCCTGAGCTCAGGCCCTGGATGCGGTGCAGAGGAGAGGAGCCCGGTGGGGGCAGGGACAGCATACAGTTGGCTGACTTCTCACTTCTTAACTGTCCAGGCTCCGGTGGCACACGAGGAATCTCACACATTCTCACAGGTTTTCGGGACCTCTGAAGTCTGTCCTTGGACCGCCGCCATTAATCTGTGGCATGGTGTCCGCATGGAGAGGGAGGGGACCCAGTTGGGCTTTGGAGCGCAATGGACTCGTGTTTGAGTCCTTTCTAAACTCTTTTGCTTGTTACCAGCTGGTTTGGGCAAATACTTTAAATTCTGTTTTCTCATCTATGAAAAGGGAAAGACAAACATTTCCCTGCAGGGCTATTGTGAGGGCCCGACCGCGAGCAGTGTGCAGTGCCTGGGGGATATGTGGCCCTCAGTCACAGTCAGGACCTGGTGGTTCTCTACCTGACCGTACCCTCCCCTGCTCAGAGCTCTCAGTCCCCCCTCCAGCCTGGCGTCAGGGACCACCTGCCTTGCTGGGCGCCCCCCCCTCACCTTCCCGCCAACTCAAACCTGTGCTGCTTCTAAATATGTCTTCAGCACTGTCAGGCTCCCTGCCCTTCTCCTCACTCCTCAAGGCCTGGAGAGTCCCGCCTCCTCCAGGAAGCCAGGTGCCTGCCCCCTGTCTATGCTGTGTGCGCCCAGCTGGCTGCAGCTCCTCGAGGACAAGGACAATTCCTTTTCCTCCTTGTTGCAACTTCCGAAGCAGGACCCAGGGCGCAGAGCCAGTGCTGTGCTGAGAGCAGCAGCACAGAGCACAGGGGCCTGGAGTCATGAGACCTCCTTTCTTCTTGAATAAGAGCAGGGACCCCCATCTCTTGCCTCTGGAAGGCACGTGCTTTAAGTTTGGTTTTCTCTGGTGGGGCTTGAGCCTGGGCACCCACACTCATGCAGTCCACCCACTGGCAGGCACTCGATGGCTGGTTGGGGGACTCTGTCATTGGGGAACTCGGCAGTCTGTGCTATCAGCTGACTGCTGAGCGGCCAGGAGGTGGTCTGACCCCGGTGGGAACTCAACCAGTGTCCCTCAACTGCCCTCCTGGGTCCCATCAGCTTCCGACTTTTGCTGCCTGAGCTGAATGGGGCCAATGGTGAGCACCGGGGACATAGCAGAGTACAGCGCCCGGAGCAGGTGGCGGGATGGGCTGGAAAGATGTGGGCAGAGTGGACGGGAGGACGGCGTGGGAGAAGGAATGTGGCCGCACACCAGGGTGTGGGCGGCGAAGATCTGGCGAGGGGCCCACAGAGACTGCCTCCTGCAGCACCGGCTGTGCTGGCCAAGGCCTGATGCGCCGGGAGGGATGGGAGGACAGACTGTTGACGCCTGTTTGTGGGGAAAGGAATACCTTGCAGCCCCACCATTCTCCTACCTTCCCACCCACGGGGCTCCTTGCCGGAGCCTCTCTTGGGCACCTTCCTCCCTCCTCCCAGCTCCTCCCTCCCTCCTCCTCCTGGAGACACCCAGGGGGAGAGGGAACCTCTGTGGCCAGGAGGGTCACCGAGCAGCTGACTGGAAAGGAGCAATGTCATTTTCAACAGCACCCTTGTGCGCAGTGTAGGGGGTGGAGGGCCCAGGAGACTGCAGAGAGCCTGGGCTGAGGGGTAGGTGTCGCTCAGTGAGGGAACCAGACAGGACACAGGCTCCCTTGCCCAGTGCCTGCATCTCTTGCTCCACCTAACCTTCCTGATAATTTCCCGTCTGATAGTCACTAAAACCCGCAAGGCAGGTCTGAAATACCCCCGTTTGACAGATGAGGATTTCAACGGTCAGAAAAGTTTGGTGAGTTGCCCACAGCTGGGAGGTGAGCTGGCACCCAAGCCAGGTCCCCGCCCCCCTTTACCACCTCTCTTCAGGGGGGCTGTCCTGGGACCTCCGCTCCCTTAGCCCCTGATGCTCCTACCCACTCCCATTCCCAGTGCCAGCAGAAAGCTGGGGACTATTTACAGTCTAATTAATGTAAATTAGGTAAAATTAAAAACTCAGTTCCTCCGGTTGTTTACTAGCCCCATTCCAAGTGTTCAGCAGCCACAGACCGTTTCTTTCATTGCAGAAGGTGCCATGGGCAGCGTGGGGCTGGAGGGAGCCTAGCGAGGAGACTGGAGAGTGTGGGACCAGGGCCTGGGTGAGGGGAGCCCCGAGAGGCCCGGTGGGCGTGGGGAGCAGCAGAGAGCCGCAGGAGCCGTCTCCCCGGCGCCTCCCTCCGATACTGATACTCCTGCAATACCAGTGAGCAATTAAGCGACTGGGGTGGGGCCAGGACTGGAGCTGGAGGGAGAGGCTGCCCGGTGGTGGTGGAGGCGGGATCCACCCTCACTGCAGTTCTCCCTGGTCCTCCAGGGCCACCTTTCATCCTTTGCCGGCCCTCCTGCCCCTTCCTGTTTGCTCACCCAGGCCCCAGAGCAAGCTAATGGGCCCAGGGCCACCACCTTCCCAATTAGTCTTATTAGGCTCTGGCTCATCCAGGGCGTCAGGGTCACAGCCCTGGGGAGGGGCAGTGCGTGGCCTGTGAGTGACCAAGGCCCAGCCAACAGGGGTCTCCAGCCCAGGCCTCTCCCCAGGATGAGGCCCTGGTACCCAGCACCCTGCATGCTGTCACTGGAGGCCCCAGAAGGGAGAAGTCAAAGGAGCTGGGTTTCGGAAGGCAAATTCCCGTTTCTGAGAGGAAAAGTCTCCCTCACTGATAGATGTGTGGCGGTGATGACCTGGGCACAGGGGCCGGGTGCATACCTTTGTGTCTGGGAGAGAGTGGTGGATCCCCAGAGGCTGTGGGTGGGAACCTGGCTAACCAGGCAGTGTGTGTGCGCGTGCGTGCGTGTGGGGGGGGG